ATATATAGCTTAGATACAGCTATATCCTTACCAGCGTGTGGGCGTGGGTGTACATGCCTAGCATACATATGTCTGTGTAATATCTCAGAAGTTCGGGTGTAGAAGTGTAGTACGATCGAGAGGTAATAGCGTTGAAGTGAACAGCATGCGGCAGTACAGAGGGAATGGCAACTCTGAGCATCCACAGTACCGCTGCGGGTTGTCACCTGTGCCAATAGCCTTTAACACAGGATTTATACCATACATATCCTACCAAGCTAATGAATGGCGTACTTTTGTGACGGAACGCGTTCAGGAGTGGTATACACAAACAGAGAATATAGCCGAGCTATTTTTCATGCACGTTTGTAGTCTAAGGCAGCACGCATGCTACCCTGAGATGTCTAGAATGCCCACTGATTGGGATACAAAACTAATCCGATCGACACAGAGGGTACGTACGAAGTATATCTTATACCCCACAAACCACTGTGGTGAGCAGTCGTACAGGGCTTATTATAAGCCCTTATTGCTTATGACAGAAAGCACCCGTCCTCACATTGTGGGTTGTATTAGGTCAATGCTGCTGAATCTCTATGTTCAAACAGACTCGGAAACGCAACACGAGTCGCGTCTACCAAAAACGAGGTGGGACAGTGTGCTAGCGACTTCATACACAAGGGTTGTATCATCACGTATACGTCTATTTAGAACGCCATGCTGACATGAATTACTTGTTATGGTTCTCTGAAGAAAACCTACCGGAATATATGGCCAAATTTTGGGGCCTTGAAATCGATCAGTCCAACCGGAGAGCACTCGCGCATCCCCAGGCGCAAGTGAACAGGCTAACACCCGTACCAACATCTCGTCTTTATTTGGTGCAATGTCAGGCCGAGGCCAGTCGGACACGACGGTTAAGTTCTCGTTAACTTCGCCAAAGCCTTCGACCAAGGCACACTTCATTGTTGCATCGGACATGGTAACTATTGAATATGTACGTACTATTTGTACAAAGATATAGATTCGTCTCTTATATACTGCTGACTGTACTATTTACATTGGTTCTCCAGGTCTCTTGTACTACACACATATTTGATATATTATATATTTTTTTAATACATATAAGTCATAAATATATATATCATATTTTATGAATTAGATGTATGAGTCATCATGAGTCATCATATTTTGGTGAGTCATCTTCTTTAAGACCAACACACAAAAATTCCAGAGTCTTGCTGCATCTGCACATATAACAGGACAGTAAAGTGTACATTCTAGGTTGCGAGTGTCCTTCATGTATATACATATTATGTTTATCGAGCTTGTAGTCAGACTTCTAAATGCACTGTGCGGATGCTCCAATATGAGAGAGGTGAGGGATGAGGATCTTCATCGCGTGCCCCAATATGAGAGAGGTGAGGGATGAGAATTTTCATCACATGCCCCAATATGAGAGAGGTGAGGGATGAGGATCTTCATCGCCTGGATGCGCCATGTACTCGCCTAGACACATCGTCTGTGCTACATACTAGAGATTACTAAACTTTGTTCGTTGTCATGGTGACGATCTCTATCGTGTATGATCCCATAGTGTGTAACTTATGTCACACACCCAGGTGCTCGACTAGCTATAAGTCGCATGGGAAATGAGATACCACTCTACTTGTACATCCACGAGTGGTATATACTATATACGTACACCCTCGCGCCTCAACCAGCATACTGTAACTAAAACCCTAGAACCCAACTTTGCGCGGGAAAACCAATGCAGCAGTCGTTTGATTTGTGTGGACTGTTGTTTGATGACAACAAGAGACCTAAGACAGTTGACACTTTTCGTGTCATCACATGCCAAATCCATTACGTTAAATAGTAGTTCAGCATTTACGGTGAAAAGAAAACGTACAGAATTCTTGTTTTTAGACGTTAAAGCATATCTGAAGAAAAAGGATCTAGCGGTTAGCCTATTTATAAAGTAAATCGGGCTAATTATATCATATAATCATCATATATTGCACCTTAGAACCTCAATATTGCACTCTCAACAAACATAAAAGGGACCAAACCAATAGCACCATTAACGCAAACACAAAAGTGCTGACCTTTATACCTTAAAACATGAAACGTTATGAGGTTGTTCTCAGACTCTCTCGAACTTGCGTGTGAAGAACGAAGAATATTTAAATACGTGCATATGTACAACAACTCGGTTAAACTGAAGTAATAGAGCATAAATATAAATACATGATCTTTCTCAGAAGGCTGTGACATATTAACATTACAACCAACTGAATCTATACACAACACTGCTGCAGAGATAGTGAACACATTCAAACAGCACGCCCGACTGAGCCTATGCTTATCTCACCACTGCGAGTCGAGTTTACAGACCAATATTGACGCAAACAGCACTCTTGTGTCAGCCTACGTAGATGTCTACGGTTGTACAAGTAGTAGTCAATCAGTATACAACATAGTTGTACGATGTTTTCTGGTGACCGAGTGCGCAGGCGTATGCCGAGTGAGGACGCCCTCAATCTGGAAGAAAGTTCGTCATTCATTGTCGGTGAGTGTTGTTAGTGTATAGCACATGTAAGCGTGCAGTATCACGGACACATGCGTGTATCGATCTTGTGTGTCGTCTGATATGTATAGGAGTAGCAAGTGTATCGTTAGCTTTGGTAATCCTATACACCATTCCAATTTGAGATCTCGCTCTTATGTTTAATGTATGAGTTGTGCACCTGAGTTCACAAACCATCGTGTGGTATAGCTGAGTATAATATATATATATACGATATCAAGATCTGAATAGAAGGTTATATGTCGGCGAGACAGTCTGTAATTAGGCAACAACTCATTTTTTCCTAAGAGCTCGACACCTCGATTTGAAACTACACATCAACAGAGACTGGAAAGTTCTATTTCGAACAATATACAAATCTCAATACATTAGAGCGTACGTGCGACGAGACACTAGTTTGGTCCCAGATGCCATGATACCTCTACTCTACTATTGACATGCATGAATGCATATATATATATATATTAAATATATTATATATATATATATATGTGTGTGTGTGTGTGTGTTACATATATATATATATATATATATAGTATATGTGTGTATATATTTATATATATGTATGTATGAATATTAATATTGCAGGGAGTGTCTATTGTGTATTGCGGGTGGGTTCAAGTCATATTTTAGCACTACCTATATTCCAGTACTATTGTGCATCGTACGTATGGCGCTTGGCGCTGATGACATATTACTTATTATACACACTAGCTATATTCCAGAGCAAATCCGCATCCTCCCCTCACATCCGTGTGCACTTGCTCTGGGCCTGTCATTTGTACCAGCCACCATATACTAAATAATAGTCCATCAAAACCTTTTCCCTGGTACTTTCTACTGCAATGCAATCAACCCATTGTATAACTATGTTCAGCTCATCTGATATTATATACCATTGTTAAACCGTGCAGAAGACGATGACGACAAGTACGCACCCAAACCCCACGGCACAGGATTGCCGCCTCTGGACCATGGCCGGATTAGGGCTAGCAGCGAAATGCCACAGAACCTATACGGTGAGCATACCTACCCCCAACAACACCACATGTATACCAATACAGGCATGGGAAATAGTATGGATATGGGGACCTTGGGTAATATGAGTTCCCGAGAAAGTATGTCGCACAATAGCAGTATGTACAACAGTAATCCAGGACCGTATGCGCCAGCACCCGGAACTCCATTCGATATGGCCTACTCTCACCTGACCGATGCAAAAGATGCCATTCCCGACTACAGGTGAGTGGGTGGTCGAATGCATCGAAAACAAACACCGGTATATAGTATATATATATATATGTGTATATATATATATATATATATATATACTATATATATTTAATTAATTATATATAGTAGTGTATATATTATTATTATATATATATATATATATATATATATATATATATATTATCTGTACGTACTTAGTGTTTTTATGTATCCTTTTTTATGTGTTTATGTAAGGGCATAAAGTGAATGCAATCGTGCACAAGTATTTGGTAGATATATCAGCGATTTCTGCCTGATACACTCGTAATAAATCATTCGTGTCGCGATTTAGTAGGATCCACGAGCACACATACCTATCAAGGTAATATATTGCTTGTTCTGCTCGAAACCACCGGTACACATGATGGAAGAAATTGACGCCGTGGGTTGTATGCTACTATTTAGACGGCTCTGGTTACAATGTTCGAAGGCCCAGGCGTGTGGTAGATGCGATCTATTAGCTTGAATGCGTGTGTTGACTAAGTTTTCTCGTCTAAAACTTACAAGTCAATCTGTGACTAATCCATTATCGGAGAGTCTGCATTGCGACCCTTAGTGCGCAGGCTGTGCCGTAGCTCACACGTGCCTCTATTGCATATGGGCTACACATGATCACATGCATATGACTGCTAATTTTTCTAGGGTTTTTAAAAACCCTAAACCCTAACCCCAAAACTCTCGTCCTATCCCTAAAACCTATAAACCTGCCATCAGCTATCATATTAAATGGTTCACTGTTGCCGTTGTCTCGATAGCCTACACTCGGTTTGTGCTTGACCAGTTCTCTTGTCGGTTCCAAGCTCTATTGGCTGATGGATACGTTGTTTCCATGGCAACCCCCTAGGTTCTCGCTCACTCTACATGTTGAACGTCATTCCTCGCATCACGTACTACACTATCTGTAAACCCTAAAACTAAACCACAAACCATTCACGCAACCATTCTAAAAACGGAAATCATACACCCTAGACCCTTTAGAAAAAGCTGTGTCACCAGGCTATCCAACAGACTAAGACTCATTGATACATGGCGAGAATATCATTATGTCTCAATTCATGCCCACACTCACTCCGCAGGGCAAAGACACACAAGTTGGCACTGGTATTCATGAGTCTGATGGCTTTGCTGACACGGCTGTTCCGGTTAGGCGCACCCCCCAATGTGGTGTGGGACGAAGTACACTTCGGGAAGTTTGCATCCTACTACCTACGCAGGTCCTTCTTCTTCGATGTGCATCCACCCTTAGGTATGAACCTTCCCCCCTTTATCACTATATTTATATGTTGAGGGCGGGTAAATATATATATATCTATATATATATATACATTATATTATATTATATATATATATGTATAATTATATAATATATATATATCCTCCAAGCAATATACGGATCCATGATCCACTTGTCTTCTTTCACTGTTCTGGTGTGATCGTTTCATCGTGTCAGATCCCAATGTCACAAAATGAGGTATCACACAATAATGCAGATGAACCTGAAGGGTGACGAGTGAAGTACCCCTATTATCGTGATGTGTATGATATTCACGCAAATGCACACCAACTGACCCCCTCAAAATGGGTATCCTCTGAGCTCTCTGTCTTAATACACGTTTGTCTCACCATATCTGGACACTATAAGTGCGTGCGCTACACCATCTAGAAACTGCATGTGGGCAGCTTTGTTTTGTCTTTCAAAGCTACCAGTCCTCTGCACAGCCGCAGTCTTCCATACCATAAACCCTAAGCCCACACTGTTCCTTCTTCGTCTCCGCGACCATTCGTTGTTGTTTCGGTGCTACTATACCCAGCTCACGCGTGCCTCTCACCGCAAACCGTATCAGAGCCAAATTCTGACACATAAGCAGGTTTTCGACAGTGATACTAGTTTATTGTGTGATGCTTCCGCATCAAGGTTGTCCCATGTCAACCATTTATCATGTCAATAGATGGGCTTATCATTTCTAAGAAATCTGACAGGTTGCAGATTGATAGTCAGCATATATTGAACTTGACTGATACGACTCAGCTGGAAGCTCATATGTATCTCTGATAAGACGTTCGACACCAATCGATCTTAAGTTTTCTTCACCACGCTCTCGCTCACATACACACCACTGTTAATTCTTCCCTGTTGTAGGCAAGATGCTATATGCTCTGGTTGGGTATATGGCAGGCTATGATGGCTCATACGACTTCGCTAAGATCAGTACTCCGTACAAAGGCATCGAACCACCGGTGCCGTACTTTGCGCTGCGACTGGCACCAGCGCTGTGTGGTGAGTATGCTATGAAAGTTTCGTAGCATGATATATATATATAGATATAGATAGATATATTTATATCTACATCTACATCTACATCTATAACTATATATTATATATTATATATACTATATATATATATATATATATATATATTATATTGAACCAGCTATTGCGCTGCAAGTGTGGCTGTTCGTTGTGGTATTTGTAACTTCGGATGTTCTCGTTGTGTATATCCACATCACCTCATAGATATGATACCACAGTTTTAAGATCGGCAAATACACACTGGATTTTGTGGTATGTTTTATCGTCCGGGGTACTTAGTGGGTGTCTGCATCATTGCTAGTGCCACGACTCTGTATATGCCTGTTGGAGGTTCCTAGAAGTATCTGTTCATGTTGTCCAACCCCCCCCCCCCCCCACCCACACCCCGCCTCTCTCTCTCTTAAGAGTAGCCTGAGGATCACATATGCACATGTGTACGTACGTTGGCTCGTCTGTGCATTTTCTCACTCGTAGTATTGGCGTATATAAATGAAGAAGATGCCACTCAATAGCGTAGACATAGGTGAGTGTGCAAGTTACTGCAAAGCGTGCTCACACTACCTGCCTTCTGCACTACGGCATTACTACAATGTCTACCTCATTCTCATATGTCACTCAAATCACAGTCAGTAAGTGCCAGTTATGTCAAATGATATGTATATTTTCTGTTCCATTTCGTAATTTGTTTCATTTTTTCGGCACATTTTGTGGCCTTACCTCATGTTGTATGGTGCCCATGTCCTATTCTATTACACGCTGCTTTCTGTATTGTATCGTATGACATCACGTGCTATGATTATCGCACTCGTATTCTTTTGTCTTATTATTTTGTCGTATTCTTTTATCGTATTTTTCTGTCGTATACCTTTGTCGTATTGTCCGATTTGTCGTATTGATCCACAACCTGTACTGTATCGCAGGCACACTCCAGGTGCCCATCACCTATCTGACTGTGATAGAGTTGGGAGGGTCCAATGTGGCGGCGGTGGTTGCCAGTGCTCTGCTGCTGTTTGACAATGGCCACATTACACAGTCTCGCTTTATTCTGCTGGATGGTTGGCTCATTACCTTTATTCTAATGGCCTTCTACTTCTACTGCTGCTTTCGCACACAGAACAGGTGAGTGTTATGTTCAGTTTGAAATAGATGTTTGATATGTCTGCTGTAGATGTCGTGTTTATGTGTTTATTTTTTATGTATGTTTGTAGTGAATATCTGATATAAATGTGGTGATACATGGTAGTTGTCCATGGATATACGCACGTGACGACCATGACAACATCAAGGCGTCTGTGCAGCACATGTTGCGGTGCAGCTATGCTGTAAGAGTGGTGTAAAGTAAGCGTTCAACTGTTTGATTCTAAGGCTTGGGTGAGACCTTGTGTATGTATACGTGTTTGTGCATATAAAACGTGAGTGTGAGTGCTCATGGGCTTTCGCGGTCTGAAGATGTTCAGCGAATGCTCGCCACAACATAATCATTATATTAACTCACATGATACGCCTTACTATCTTGTCGGCCATCTTGGTGCATCCTTCAGGCGCATTTAACTGTACACACAGATTCTTCAGTGCTATTGTATAGATTTCGATTTCATGTGGTTTCCTGACGTCACCCATGCACTGTATTGTACGGCAGTTCTCGAGCTCCGCTGATCTATTATAAGACACTTATCGAATCTGTGTACATAACCAAAACTCTGATAGTACACTCTCCTGCGATTCTCTATGACCAGATACCTATACGCATCCATGTATGTGCACTAGTCGCATATGCAAGACAGCATACCAATCCAGGTCGTTTCTGCCGTATTAACTTACTAGTCGGTGAGTACTGGATATGCTTCATTAGATGTAGCCATTCTACGCAGTCACAGAACCCCTCAACGGCTTGCCAATATGTCGTATAAGCCAACAGCGTGAAGCTCCAATGACACTCTGTGAGTCTCTCCACTGTCTGGTCTATACCGTCGGGTAGCATGCATCGATACCATACAAGGCTTAAATGTGTGCACCTCAAGAACGCGCATCAGCGCCGTTTTTGTCCTGACTGTGTTTCGTCAGCTCTACACAGACTTTCACAACACACAGTCACGCCTCAAGTCATACAGCATAGTATGTCAAACATACTGTGACCGGCTTAGCCCTTAATCTTTACCACTCACCCACGCATGCATTCCACTATAAAACCCTGAACCATACAAAATCAGGCCCCTTTCCCTTGTCACTCTCTCTCATCTCCTGCTTATGCACGCACAGGCTGTACCCCTTCTCCGTGAAGTGGTGGGTGTATCTGTGTCTATCTTTCCCCCTGTCACTCTCTCACCTCTTTCTGCTTATACACGCACAGGCTGTACCCCTTCTCCGTGAAGTGGTGGGTGTATCTGTGTCTGTCTGGCACCTTCCTTGCCCTGGCCGCTTCTGTGAAGCTGGTGGGAGTGTTCGTCATCGCTGTCGTGGGTGTACACACGGCCTTAGGTACGTACTGACTCAGCTTCACGCTTTCGTTGTATCGCGAATATTGTGTTAAACAGCAACTCGTACGTACGCTGACGGAAACGTTTGAGTGCACACTTACCGATGGTGTCCATGCAGGCATCTGACGCATGTGAATCCGTTTTCTACGCGTTCGTACGGCCTGTACATATGGTCTGTGTAAGAGTTCCTGTTTTGGGTCGTGTAGTTTTGGCGTAGGATAATACCGTGCACCGCGTTTAGGAATAGGTTTGATATGCTAGAAGTGGTTTGTGAAGCTTCGCGTCATTCGCGGTCTGTGGATGCATGGGCCCTACTTGTGTGAAATTATGGCCATGCGGCAAAATAAACCATTCGATAGTCTTCACAGACGAAACCCGTTAACGCCTCAACGGATGTAGTGTACTAGAACGCACTCAACGCCCCCGTCCACACTCACAAATGCGTAGACTATCGTACATGCATGAGATAACACGCAGACACGCACATACGCACATGCGTGTATCTAAAAAATGCACAGCAGCACCGACCAAACACCCCAGCTAAGCTGATGGCCCGGCAGCGACTTGTTCTATCGCTCGCCGTTCACACTCCTATCCTACCCCCCATCCTCCCACCTACCTCCCCCCGCGCCATCCTCCCATCTTATCTACCCCCCTTTCTCCTCAGAGCTGTGGCGTGTGTGGAAAGACACGCGTAACGCCATCTGGCCCACCTTTGCGGCCCATCTGGGGTCGCGTGTGGCGTGTCTGATTGTGCTGCCTGTGTGCATTGTGCTGTGTGTGTTCCAGGCACATTTTGCTGTGCTCATCCACTCAGGGCCGGGCGATTCGCATATGAGCCGACAGTTTCAGTCCCAGCTCATTGGCAGTCCCCATGCCCAGCAGGTGTGTTGGGCTGCGTTGCGTTGTGTTGTGTAGTGTGGTTAACATTATGTTATTATCTAAAGGGTTATTCTGATAGGTGGATAGAGACAATACCCCATGCCAAGCAGGTGTGTTGGGCTGCGTTGCGTTGTGTTGTGTAGTGTGGTTAACACTATGTTATTATCTAAAGGGTTATTCTGATAGGTGGATAGAGACAATACCCCATGCCAACCAGATGTGTTGGGCTGCGTTGTGTTGTGTAGTGTGGTTAAAATTATGTTATTATCTAAAGGGTTATTCTGATAGGTGTATAGGTGGATAAAGACAATACCCCATGCCAACCAGGTGTGTTGTGCTACATTGTGTTGTGCTGTGCTGCGTTGCGTTGCGTTGCGTTGCGTTGTGTAGTGTAGTGTGATTAACATTATGTTATTATCTAAAGGGTTATACTGATAAGTGGATAGAGACAATATCCCATGTCAAGCAGGTGTGTTGTGCTGTGTTGGGTAGTGTGGTTACATAATGTTATTATCTAAAGGGTTATTCTGATAGGTGGATAGAGACAATACCCCATGTCAAGCAGGTGTGTTGTACTGTGTTGGGTAGCGTGGTGACATTATGTTATTATCTAAAGGGTTATTCTGATAGATTGATATGTGGATAGAGACAATACCCCATATCAAGCAGGTGTGTTGGGCTGTGTTGGGTTGGGTAGTGTGTTTACATTTAATTATCTCGAGGGTCAATTCAATAGCTTGATAGCTGGTCCGAGATTATCTCCCATGTGTTGGGGTGTGCTGTGTTGATTTGAGTGTATACTCTTGGAAGCTTTACTCGTTGCAGCAGTACTGTATCCGATTTCGGTAGTCGAAATAGAGGTGGAACGTGGTTGCAGTGAAGTTGGGCTGAGCAACGTAAACCTTGATGCACCAAACGTACTCGGAATGGAGGTGAAAGGTGGTGGTGATGAAGTTGACCTCTGCAACGTGACACGTTCCACCCCTATTCCGACTACGTTCGATTTATTAAGGCTCACGTATCTCAGTTCAACTTCACCACTACCACCTTTCACCTCCAGTCCGAGTACGTTTGGTGTATCAAGCTTTACGTTGCTTAGCCCAGCTTCACCACAACCACCTTTTACCTTCAGTCCGAATACGTTTGGTGCATCAAGCTTTACGTTGCTTAGCCCAGATTCACCACAACCACATCCCAACCTCTATTCCGACTACTGGGGTATTGCAGTATGTCAATATCTCGCGGATTAGTTTAATCAGGTTGATGCTGGGATGGGGAACATACCCCGTGCCAAACACGACCATGTTGTGTGGGCCTTTCATTTGAATGCGTGTCTTCTGTGTGTGTTTCGTGTGTGTATATAACCCATATGTTGATATCACCAATTGTATAGGCAAATGCTGTCGTAGGTGCAAGTCATGTTGCTTGCCAACACCGGCATAACCTGCGTGTATACTTTTGCCTACTTTATACCTACACACTATACTTAAACCTTACAATCAGACCATATACTCAAGATCACTACTCTACCCAAACCCTACACTCGCTACAGGTTGAGCCGATGCCCCAAGATATAGCCTTCGGGTCTATCATCACCTTCACACCACAACAGTTTAAACCCGACTGTTGGATACACTCCCACGAACATCGGTGGCCTAAGGTGTACTTTGAGGGCACCAAGAAGCGTCGTGTGGGCAGCGCCCAGCAACAGGTCACATGCTACCCACACCAGGACCACAACAATCAATGGATGGTGCTGGAGCCGGATCGCTACACTAAGTATGGGAGACCCGTGTATTTGTCGATGGGGTTGTGGGTTTATATGTATGTATGGAAGTGAGGTGAATTTTGTAGTGACCGCACCGAGAAAAGGTATGTCATATATACATATGAATATATATATATATATATATGAATATATATATATATATATATATGTATGTATCTATATATCTATATATACATATATATGTGGGTGTGTATTTATATATATATATACGTATATATGTATATATATATATGTGTGTATGTGTATATATATATTGATATTGATATTGATATTGACATTGATATTAGTAATTATTTATATTCATATACATTTCTATATTTGTATATATATATATATGTGTGTGTGTGTGTGTGTATGTGTATATATATATTGTTATTGATATTGATATTGATATTGATATTGATATTGATATTAGTAATTATTTATATTCATATACATTTGTATATTTGTATATATATATATTTATAAATATATATATATATGTGTGTGTGTGTTTGTGGGTGGGTGTGGGTGTGTGCCTGTACATATCCATGCTTGTATATACGCATATATGTATGTATGTATGTATGTCTATATATATATATATATATGGCATTTTTATGATAGTCAAAATTAGTCGAGTTGAGTCCTGTACATTTCACATTATGTTGTGTTTTCTTTGCTCAATTCCTCAGCGCTGCCGTTACAGCCTCGTCTCGTCTCCGTATTGCGGTTTGTCACTGTGTATCTGCTTTCATGGACTACTATTTAAATGGGATTTGTATGCCCGTTGTGTATCTAGCTGTGCGTGTGTATACGTGTACGCCTTCCCGTGCTATGTGTGTACAAGTGGACATACGCCTTTCTGGCCGGAAACCTAATCAAGGATCGAACGAGGTCATGATTCCAGTTGTTTTGGGAGCGCGAAATAGAACTGTGGACTTTCTACACATGTGTATACGCCATCACTGGTGATATTCTATTGTTCGCCTCTTGACATCAATCAACCCAGATGCCTGCCCAACATTTGCCCATAACTAGCGCGTAAGAAATGACAAAACCCTAAACCCTATTTCTTGTTGACTGACAGATATCACCATAATGTCATGAACCTCACCATGGACATTGACGGTGGAGAGGAGCCCCACGCAGTAACTAAGTTTGTGCGTCACGGAGACAATATCAAGGTATGCTTGCTGAGCAATATACACGTACGTGTTGTGTGTTATATGTGAATGATGATCGGAGTGATGGGTAATACTTATGTGTGCCAGATAGACCATACGCCCATATACATTTGCATGGTAGAAACGGTTTGCATAATTGCGGTCTGTATTTGAATCCGTTTATGGTCGCTTGGAGAGGACATGCTAACTTTCTGGTGCAGCATCACGTGTAAAACATACTTCCTATCATATGTACACTTTATGTTTCATTTAGCTGGTTACTTCACTTCATATTCTTTCTTTGAATCTATCATGCATGTCCTGTTATTACTTATTCTTTGTACCGAACATTGTCCCGTACCCTTGTGTCTCTGTGTAACCTCATTGCGTCCACAAGGCTGTGCGTATATGTGCGCTGCTTCGCAGCTAGACTTCCCTATCGGCTCAGATTACAGCCATATCGGAATAGGCACAATGTACAGTTCGTGACTCGCATCGCTGTGGTACTGTAGCGCTAGTTATTGCAGTGAAACCAACTCAAAGCTCAGTCGTACTACTTATACACAGATACAGTCTCATTGTAGCCTCGTTTGTACATAGTTTGCTATGATGCTGTATATGTATTTTAGTCAACTTAGGTTTCGAATCGGGTTATTCATGCAAACTACCAGTGCCATCTGTACTGCGAGTGTCGTTCATAATTTGGAAGTATGATATATTTATTGCTACCTGTAGAATATATATATGTATATATATATACATATATATATATATATATATATCACTGCTACTAGTAGAAAACTACTAATCCCTAAACCATACTTTGCTCCTCTCAGCTATACCATGTGTCCACCCAAACATTCCTGCACACACACGATGTCGCCAGTTACGGCTTTCCATCAAAGCAAGAAGTCAGCACCTGGAATGGGTCAGAAACGGTATGTGACAGTTGTGGCTGTGTGCATACTGTCATCTGGCAATACTCGAGCACACGTTTGCATGTGAATTCGTCTCACTCTCATCTGCACAAATGGTAAACAGTCCCGTGGCCCTACGTGAGAAGTGGTTGTACACTTGGGTTCCTTGTTTCTATTCTTTGCTCGGGTCTGTAGGGAGCTGTAGCGTGTGGATTGGAGGTGTGGAGACTGTTATTAGCACGCGTAGCTGGCTGTGGAGTGGTCTTGGAGGGCAGCCGAAGAGTACGCGCGTACGATCATATGTTGCACTACTCTGTCCCATCCACTAATATGTTATAAACGTTGCTTGAGGGTCGTAAAGCTCTGTGCACGGCAGTTATAGCCATTGTTCTCTCTTTGTATTGATTGTGATGTATCCTACTGGTAGTAGTAATTCGCTTTACCCAACGGTCGTAGTTGGGTATGCCATGTAGAAAACACTTCTGTTCACCCTGTGTGTGGTGTTTGGCCCTGTAGGTGGTATGACTCTACCCTACACAGTGATCGTATACGTACATTCTATGTGTTAATTACAGTTGTTTACTTTGTGTGTGGTTGTCGCTGCCTCTCCTGTAGGTGGCTCCTATGACCGACTTCACAATTCAATTCACCGAAGCCGGCGGAGAAGCGGGCAAGCGATGGCACCCATTCCGCACACGATTTAGGTGTGTACTAGTTACACTCAGTGGACACTCACTTCAATGCAAGTACATGGCTGTTATGGACATAGTGGACACGCACTTCAATGCAAGTATATGGCTGTTATGGACGTGGGCTATACACCACTCCCATCTCAGT